GGAGTAGTCGTAGGAGCCGCAGTAGTCGCCGTCGTAGTAGTAGTAATCGTAGACGGAGCAGTCGTAGTAGTAGTGGTAGTAGCAGTTGTAGTAGTAATAGTATTAGTAGTAGTAGTAGTAGTAGTAGCAGTCGTAGTAGTCGTAGTAGTCGTCATAGTAGTAGTAGCAGTAGTAATAGGAGTAGTAGTAGTAGGAGTAGTCGTAGTAGTAGTCGTCGTGGTAGTAGTAGTAATAGTCGTAGTAGTAATAGACGTGGTATTAGCAACACTAGTCGTAGAAGTAGTCGTCGCCGTCGTCGTCGTAGTCGCAGTAGTAGGCGTCGTAGTAGTAGTCGTAGTAGTAGTAGTGGTAGTAGTAGTAGTAGTAGTAGGAATACTGGTAGTAGCAGTCGTAGTAGTAGTAGTAGTAGTAGTAGTAGTAGTGGTAGTAGTACTAGTCGTTGTCGTCGTCGTTGTCGTAGTCGTCGTCGTAGCTATAGTAGATGTAGCAGTAGCAGTAGTAGTAGTAGTAGTAGTAGTAGTAGTAGTAGTAGTAGCAGCAGTAGTAGTAGTAGCAGTAGTAGTAGCAGTGGTCGTAGTAGTAGTCGTAGTCCCCTGGTAGTCGTAGTAGCCGTAGCAGTCTTAATGATGGTATTAGTCGTAATCGTAGTATCCGTAAGAGTAATCGTAGTAGGTAGCAGTAGTAGTAGCAGCTGTAGGTGTAGGAGTAGTAGTAGCAGTAGTGGTTGTAGTGCTAATCGTCGTAGTCGTAGTTGTCGTAGTTGTCGTAGTAGTAGTAGTAGTCGTAGTAGTCGTAGTAGTAGTAGTAGTAGTAGTAGTAGTAGTAGTAGTAGTGGTGGTAGTCGCAGTACTCGCAGTAGTAGTAGTTGTGGTGGAGGAGTAGCAGTAGTAGTAGCAGTAGTAGTCACAGTAGTAGTCGTAGTAGTAGTAGTAGTAGTAGCAGTAGTAGTAGTAGTAGCAGTAGTAGTAGTAGTATTATTCGTAGTAGTCGTAGTAGTCGTAGTAGTAGTAGTAGTAGTAGTAGTAGTAGTAGTCGTAGTAGTAGTAGTAGTAGTAGTAGTAGTAGTAGTAGTAGTAGTAGTAGTAGTAGTAGTGGTGGTGGTGGTGGTGGTGGTGGTGGTGGTGGTGGTGGTGGTGGTGGTGGTGGTGGTAGTAGTAGTAGTAGTAGTAGTAGTAGTAGTCGTTGTATTAAATACCATGTCGATCGGAGGTTTGGCAGGCGTATAAATTCCTGGTGCCGTCCCGCGTTCGACCACCTCCGTACCTCTGTCACTCAATCGCTCTTTCGCTCCTCCGAGCCCGGCGCTCTTGACTCAGTCGCTCTTTCGCTTCCCCGAGCCTCGCGCTGCTCGCCAGGGCTGTAGTGCTGCTGCCTCGTCTGTCGGTTTCGAGTCTCGGGTGGACCGCCGCGCCTCTCGGTGGCTGGCCCCTGCGGGGGCCCACACGCCTGCGGGCTTCCCTTGTGGGAGGCGAGCGCTGGGGCGGCGAGGCGTCGCTGCCCCCCGGCGCGGTCGAGGGGCCTTTCGTTGACGAGGCTCGCCGTTGTCGCCCATGGCGCGGCCGCGCGCGCGGGCCGCGGCGGCGAGGCTTACTCCTCAGACGCGCTTGCCTTGCGGCAAGCGGTGGGAGACTTGCTATCAGACGAGGAAAAAATCAAGCGGATGTCCCCGCTGGATCACTGGGGGTGGGCCCAGCGCCTCCCCGAGCGCGAGGGGCCCAAGCAGCTCCCTGCTGCGTGGGCGGACGCGGTGGGCGCGCGCGCTGCCCTCGAGGGGCGCGACCTGCGCCGCCGCCGGGCGGCCGCCTGGCATTGCCGGGAGGATCGCAAAAAGTGGCAGGCGGCGGCGCGCCCGCGCGCGCGGCCTCGCCCGCGGGTCAAGCGTCGTTGGAGGCGGGCTTCCGCCTCGCGTGCAAGCCGTGCTGGGGCCGAAGAAAATCTGTGGCTCTTACAGGCGTCGGGGCCGGGGCGCGGGCCAGCGCGGGGCGGCCGCCCTCTGCGCGCCCGACCCTTGCAGGAAATGTTGGCGGCGGCAAGGGCGAGCGATGCGGACCTCGCGCTGCAAATCGAGAGGGGCTTCCTTCTGGTAGGCGAATTGCCAGTGTCGGGCGGTATGGGGCGGGTGGCGACGAGGGATTTCCGCGACCCCCCGTCGCCCCACCGCGAAGCGCCGCGCCTGAATGCTGACGCGGTCCGCCGGGTCGCGGGCGATCGCGCCCGCGGCGGGGAGTTGCGGCGAGAGTTTCTGCGCAGGGCAAGCGAGGGGGCGCGCGGGGAGGGGGCCTTTTCCCGCGGCACCGAGCCGCGCATGTGTGCGCCCGAGCGCGCTCAGGTAGAAATGGGCAAAGGCGCATGGTGCCCGTTGGGCCAGGCTTGCCGAGGCGCGGCGTTGACCCCCAGATTTCCGGTCGATGAGGGATGGCGCTGGAAACAAGAGGGCGGCTGGAGGCGCAAGGCGCGGCGCGAGCCGCCTTTCGGGTCTCTCGCGAGCCGCCTTTTCCGCGGCGCCGAGCCGCGCGGGCCGTTTTTTTCCCGC